CGCCAAGGGTTCGGATCCCACATACAGACCGGTTCCCGCTCACTGGCTGAGCGAGGTGCGGGCGCGACACCGAGGGTTGCGATCCCGTTGCCGGTCCCGGTCCGGTACGGGCGCGACACTGAGGGTTGCGATCCGTTGCCAGACACGAAAAAAGACAAAAAGGAAAAAAAAAATTTTTTTAAAGTAGAAAACCTGACCAGAGGAATAGGACAAAATTAAGGGAGTTTTCCAAAAACAATCTTTCCCAACCTGAAAGAGCAAAAAGGAGGGGGGCACTGCTGACTCCGATTCTAAGTGGATTCATTTAATCTTCTCATTTTGACAAAACGTAATTCTCACATTATATAAACTTTTCCACAACGTTGGAGGAAACTAACTTTAAACTCTCTAATTTGTTCTATAATGCATACACTGAATAACCCTAATACCAAAACCTAACTTAAAATATCACAAACAATAAAAACTATATTTACATACGACTACTGATATACAACTTTAAGTAAGACGCTAATAAATGATATCTATAATATTATACAAGAACATTTCAGCCAAAAAAAAAGCCGGCCCGGTGGCCGCTTGGGAGTGCGGCGGCGCTCCCGCTGAGGGTTCGGATCCCACATACAGACCGGCCGCTCACTGGCTGAGCGAGGTGCGGGCGCAACACCGAGGGTTGCGATCCCATTGCCGATCCCAGTCCGGTATGGGCGTGACACTGAGGGTTGCGATCCGTTGCCAGTCACGAAAAAAGACAAAAAGGAAAAAAAAAAAAAGAGAGAGAATGAGAAGTAGTTTAGGCAGCCAAACGATAAGAGGGCCAGAGCAGGCCCCAGGCTTCCTGGCCCTCCCCTCAGTGCCCTCCTGCCCAGCAGCTGCCCGACTGTCCACACCTGCAGTCTCCATGATGAGGACTGTGTGGTGGGCCTGGGATGAAGCTTCAGAGGAGCACAGTGATGGGCAATTAAGAACCTGGAAAGGAAGCCTAGGAAGAAAGGGCAAGGGGTTTATTCTGTCCATTTCTTTAGAGGAAATATGACTTTAAGTGGAGTTTCACACACTATGAGACGACCAGCTGTTCTCCATGTGGCTAGAGCAAACCCATTCGTATAACTTCGTATAATGTATGCTATACGAAGTTATTACGGCTTTTAAGAATAGTTTTAAGAAAGGAAGAGGGTGTAGATAACTTGGCACTTGAGCACATTCCCCCTAAGGTAGTGCAGAATAACCGAAAGTGCATTGAAAAGAGAAGCGCTGTAGACAGTGCATAAGAGGAAGCATAGGATCTCAGAAGCTACCGTTGCTGCATTTGGTCTTTCTGGGGACCAGCAGAACCTTGCTAATCCTCATGCACTAGAGAAACTTTGTCTGGCGTGTTCTAGGAACGGCTAAGCAGGACTAACACGTTTATACGGGACACTGATTACAGCCAACGAATTTAAATAAAATAGTCATTTGATGACCTCTCATGTGGGTGGTTAGTTGTTTTCCTGGAGACGTACGATTGCTGGTTAATCAAGGTTTGGGTTGACAAAATGTCATATTAACTACCTTTAAGTATGCTGCTGCGTTTTTTTGGTGTTCCATTTTGCTTCTGTATAAAATTTAATTTTTCTATGGTTAGACCTCTGCTGCTTTAAATCACCTTTCCTATTTAAAACCTCATTGGCCACTGCTAGTTCTAAAGTATTTGCAGATCAAAGGAACAAAGCATATCTTATGGAGATCTTCAAACTCCAGAAGAGTTTGGAGTTTGCTGGCATGTGAGGAGAGCGCACCCTGTTCTCTCACCCCACCACGGATCTCTATTGTCTCCGCAGGCCTCGGACGTGATCTTGTTTTATCCTCTGTAGAATGAGTGCATGGGACTAGATCTCAGAGGTCTTCTCCAGCTTCAACATTTTATGATTCTGTTATCTTAAGAGAAGGAGTCATTACTGCCATTGCACTATGTAGTTAACGCAACAAGGACTTCATAGTTCCTTTGTACAGACTAGAAAACACTCAATTGGGCTGAACTTCCACTCGGCAGAGCAGAATGTAGGTGGAAAAGTGCATCAGAACCAAATATTGAATAGAATAATCATAAAACCAATTATATCTAAAATCTAAACTATTTTGAAAGCTTTAACAAACTTAGGGGAAAGAATTGGTCTGTTGATAATGAAGTTTATTTCCGAGATTAGCCTATTTACATTGGTTGAATGTAGATTTTGTGTCTCACCTTAAATATGTGGGCTTCTATTTTTACTTTAAAATATTTGTGCTCCTACAGGTGGGCTCTGTGGTGGCTGTGGGTTGGATCCGCTCCCGGAAGGCCGTGGACTGGCGCCTCTTCCGGAACATCTTTGTGGCCTGGTTTGTGACCGTGCCCGTGGCTGGGTTGTTCAGTGCTGCTATCATGGCTCTTCTCACGTACGGGATCCTTCCATATGTGTGATTTGTCATCTTCCCACAGTAGACAACGAAAGGGAGAGTCTGGTGTGGGTGTGTGTGGGCGTCATACATCCACATATCACCCCCCCCCAGCCACGCACGACTGTCTCCCACTGGCTCTCCAGCCCTTCCAGATGGTTCCTGCCACACCACTCACCCAGACTACAGAGATTCACCTTCCAGAGCTAACTTAACTACTGTACATAATAATGTTTTAAACTGGTGTCGTGGTGACATAATGTGGTACACTTATATAAAATATATATTGTATACATAGAATTGGTAGCATTATTGCAAGCATATTCAAAATGGGAGTGGAGGTAATTGCCTAGGACTAAATACTCAGTAAATTTTGTACGTAATGATTTCAGTGGCATATTTTAAGAACCTTTTAAAGGAAAGCGTAGATTGGAAAATGACTTTTTTCCAAGCGATACTTTTCCCTGTTACTATACTGTAAGATCAGCGGGATACAGGATATATATGGTACAGTCTAGGGAAGATGGATGTAGGTAGCGTGCTACTGAGCAATACTGGACAGGAGTTCACAAGTGCTTTTCCTGAAGAATCTGTTCATATACTATGTACTGACCATTGTGTAATACATCATAATTGCTTTTGTAAATACTTAAAATTGTAATTTTTTAATGGTGTGCTTCCTTACACTTTTTTGATCAGAGAATTTTGGTAAGTACCAAAGAAGCAGGGGGATAGTTTGCCAGTGTTATATTTTCATATTGTCTGTCTCTCCTTCTCATTAGTCCCTCCCAGTAACCTGGGGTGTGGGGAGATGGCATGTCCTGCCCTGGGCAGTGCGTATGGTCAAGGCGCCAGCCACCCGTCATGTGCCTGTCACACTTGGGGCTCCCCACCCCACCAGCAGCACCAACCCCACTGCCACCACCTACCAGATACTGGCCAAGCCTGCAGTGGCCTTCCACTGTCAGCAGCACAGAGTACAGGTGTAAGGACAAGTGGTGGAGCACCCACGTCAAGTCCAGGTCACATCTTCGTCCTCATTCTGCCCTGCAGCCTGAAGAGTGGGATTCTTGTCTCAAACATTGAAACAAATGAGGCTTTTTATGTGCTTTGACTTCTAGAAATTTGGGGAGTGGGGGTCAGAGGGCTAAAGTATTAGAAAATACACTGGATTTGAGAATTTCTTTGAGGCCTTTACTAAACTGAACATCCTGATGCTGGTCTGTAATCCCATTGGGTTCTCTTTTTTGATAGCAGGAGGGAGGAAGTCTGTCAGCCTGAGATTATGGAAATGCTGCTAAATTTTTTATATTGACAAACATTTTCTTGGTACTTCATTGTGATTTTTCATTAATCAACCATATTAAATTTATAATAAAAATGCCCCTCAAAAGTTTGCCTGTAAAGTCTTTTTTCTAAACATCTACAAATATTTTTGTTTCCACAAAAGTAAAAGCTATATAAGTTACTTGTATTTTTCAAATACCTTTCGGGTATTTTTCCCCCTTAATTAATTTACTATTACATGTTTGTGCAGAAAATACACCTGAACAAGCAAAGGAAGAATGACCCACACACCCCCGCATTCGGAAACCCCCGTGTTCACGCACGCACGGATCTGGCAGTCCCTGCATCGGGACTTCTGTTAAAGGCAGTGTCACACTTCCATGCTAAGGCTGTCTCCACTCTAAAGTTAGCCAAGCTTTGGAGGGTGGAGTAGTCGATTTAGATGTTCAGGGTTAAGGACCTAGCAGGAAAGTGCAGATCCTACCTAGTTTGCTTCTTGGTTCAAGCAGCCAATCAATAATAAATAACTGCTTGGAGCTTCAGAGGGAAACTCCTTAATCCTCTGCTGCAGGCACGTGCTTCATTTCCTTTAGGAGCTAGGAAAGTAAGAGATGAGGAAAACTGGCCAGGTGTAAAAAAAATTCATCTCCACAGAGAAATCTGTCCTCTCGCCTTTTGGCTCTCTGAGCAGCACCATGGCAGTTGGCAAGAACAAGCACCTTACAAGAGGCGGCAAAAAGGGAGCCAAGAAGAAAGTGGTTGATCCATTTTCTAAGAAAGGGTGGTATGATGTGAAAGCGCCTGCTATGTTCAGTATAAGAAATATTGTAAAAACACTAGTCACGAGGACTCAAGGAACCAGAATTGTACCCGATGGCCTCAAAGGTCGTGTGTTTGAAGTGAGCCTTGCCGATCTGCAGTATGATGAAATTGCATTTACAAAATTCAAACTAATTACTGAGGATGTTCAGGGCAAAAACTGCCTAACTTCCATGGCATGGATCTTACTCATGACAAAACGTGTTCCATGGTCAAAAGACCATGATTGAAGCTCACGTTGATGTCAAGACTACCAATGGTTATTTGCTTCGTCTGTTCTGTGTTGGTTTTACTAAAAAGCACAACAATCAGAGAAGACTTTTCATGCTCAGCACCAACAGGTCTGCCAAATCCGGAAAAAGATGATGGAAATCATGACCCGAGAGGTGCAGACCAGTGACTTGAAGTGGTCAATAAATTGATTCCAGACAGCATTGGAAAAGACATAGAAAAGTCTCGCCAGTGTATTTATCATCTTCATGATGTCTTCGTTAGAAAAGTAAAAATGCTGAAGCCCAAGTTTGAACTGGGAAAACTCCTGGAGCTTCATGGTGAAGGGAGTAGTTCTGGAAAAGCTACTGGGGATGAAACAGGTGCTAAAGTTTAACGAGCTGATGGATCTGAACCACCAGTCCAAGAATCTGTTTAAAATTCAGACTTTTAATAGTGACAAATAAAAAAATCCCATTTAAAAAAAAAAATCTATCCTCTCCAATTTTTGAAATAGCACCTTAAGCCTTTCATTTCCCCACTTTTGATAAAGATTCCAGGACAAGTTAAATTTCCTCCTAAATTTGATAAGAAAAGCAGACATTGTGCAGTCCCTTCTGCTGGATTCAGGCCATTTTGCAAGCCCCACCCTGGGAGAAGAGCTACATCTCTTGAGTCCTGGCCCAGCCCTGAGCAGATAGGCTGGCAGAGCCAGCGTCCCAGGAAGTGAGTGGGGACAAGGGTCACCCCCAGCACCTCACCAGCAGGATTCTGAGGGTGGCCTTGCCTGCTGCACCGTCCCCCATCCTCTCTCATCTGACAGATGGCAAGTTGGCAAGCTGACCGCCCCCGCCCCCACCACCGGAAAGAAAACGTCTTCTCCATCGTGGACCCCTCCCCCTAAAACGAGGCCCCTGGCTCCCACTGCACAGCAAGGGCACCCGTGGCTCCTGTGGCTGAGGGGACTGTTGGGCCAAGGGCTGGGGAAGAAGGTCCCAGTTAGCCAAGCGATGATGGCAGGTTGGTCTGCTCAGGCCGAGCATGGGGTCCTTTCCAAGGGGGAAGAGACGCTGGTGGCGGGCTCTCCTGTCCTGGGCCACCAGCTCACAATTCTACCCTCAGAGTCTCCTTTTTCTCTAATAATGCAGTCTTCAAGGCAGCTCACAATCCCTGGCATCTTACTTATTTTGTTCAGCAGATCACTCTACCAGCACGGGAGCGCCCTGGGCCTTTGCTGCCTTTCCACTATATCTGGGTGCCTGCTGGGGCAGTTTGGATGCTGTCAGGAGGAGCCTGAGTTCCTGAGACAACGGTCTTTTACATCATTTTCTGCCTTTCCAAAGGGACTGAACTTACGAACAAATATGTAAACACACTTAATCATTTTCGATAAGATAACTTTTTTAAAAGACGTCCTCCCCACCTACCCTTCTTAGAATAATCTGCAGAATTCTCAAGTTATGGAATAAAAATGAAAAACCATCCCTCTGTTCAGAAAATGTTGAACTATATGGACCTATGGCATCAGTGAATTTATTCAATTACAAAGCAAGGCCAGAAAAAGGCACTTTGAGGACATCATGCCATGTGTTTTGTGAGTCCTAAAATGCGGCTGAATCCAGACTCCTTGCTCACCTGTCAGAGACCAAATTTGCCCACTGCCTTCAAGCACCCTTGGAGTCAGCCAGACCTGGGTTTAGATTTCAGCTTCTGTTTGAATGACCTTGGGCAACTTCCTTAACCCCTATTCGTGGTCAAAAGACCATGATTGAAGCTCACGTTGATGTCAAGACTACCAATGGTTATTTGCTTCGTCTGTTCTGTGTTGGTTTTACTAAAAAGCACAACAATCAGAGAAGACTTTTCATGCTCAGCACCAACAGGTCTGCCAAATCCGGAAAAAGATGATGGAAATCATGACCCGAGAGGTGCAGACCAGTGACTTGAAGTGGTCAATAAATTGATTCCAGACAGCATTGGAAAAGACATAGAAAAGTCTCGCCAGTGTATTTATCATCTTCATGATGTCTTCGTTAGAAAAGTAAAA